TAAAGCCATTCCCCCTTGTCCTGTTACTCCATGCACTTGTAAACAGTCCCAGTCCAGCTTTCCTGTAGGCCCCTTCAGGTACTGAAAGTCTCCCCAGAGCCTTTTCCTCTCCAGGCTGCACAACCCCAACTCTCTCAGCCTGTCTTCATAGCAGAGGTACTCCAGCCCTCTGATCAGCTTCATGGCCTCCTCTGGACTCGCTCCAACAGGTCCATGTAAATTTTTTCAATTATTACAATTCTATCCAGAGGCAAAACCTAATCTTTCATCTACAGAACTGATCCTATCAAAGTTAGCAGAAAAAAATCTGGCTGAATTCAGCAACAGCATGGTGTGCCTCTAGATGTGGGCATGGACACACTTGGTCTCTGCACTCTACAGGGCTGAGAAAGCCCCAGGGAGTGTCAGAGCCAATATACTCATTAGCTGTGCACAGAAAGCAAACCAGTGCTACTTGCCCCCATCCTCATCCCACTAGTCCTGCTTGTTGTCTGTCTTGCTTCCAGTCCCTTCACACAGCCCTTTAAAATCCCTTTGAGGCATTTGGTTTGTACAGTACAAGGAGGAAGACATTCCCTATTGAATGTGGAATGAGATTATCTAACACTCCCAGATGGTTTGATGGTTGTTAATTTTCATCAGTCCATTGCTTAATGCAGTTTTGATAGGGGAGGCAAGCCTTTGCTTGATGCAGTTGAGCAGATCAGTACAGAAATCACTGGGCTTATGGGGTTCCAAGAAGCAAATGTGACCCCTCATCAAACTGATAGTAAGCACTGGGCCATCATAGCCACAGAACAGTCATGCAGAACAGCCATTCTCTAGTTTTTGATGGCAAAATCTACCATTATGCAGGCGCACATATGGTGCTTCATCTGCATCACACAGCATGTGTGGTCACTTGTGTTGGTCATTTGAGAGATGATCTTCCTAGATGTACTACAGCCTTTAAACTTTTAAGTAATCAGTATCAGACTGAAGTTATCTACATAGGGCTTTCAAACGATCTATCTGACCACACAGAAGTTATTTACCAAATTGCTTGTAACCCAACTGAGAAGGAGCAGATTTCAGGGGAAACAAAGCAAGTGCAGGTCAAAATTGTACTCAAAACAGCCAAAGCTGGAATTCGCAGTCATCCAAATCAGTTTTGGGCAAAACTGTGTGGTTTGATGGGTCTTTAGTCTCTGTCCTGTATGTACCCTACAACTCCACCAATGTGTGGTACCACTTCTCAAGATCACTTTAATTTGTTTTTGTCCAATGACATGACTATAAACAACTTCCCTGCAAAAAGCATATCCAGGGTATTACAAATCTTGATAATTAATGAAATTGTGTGAGTGGGTCTTGTTTTCCTGGACAGTTATATTTTTACATATTGCTTTGATTTAATAATAGTAGAAACAAGTCTATTCACTATGCCTCAGATTTGTAAAGGACTCATTGAAATGATAAGTGAAATGTTTAGAAAACTGCTGAAAAAAACAAAGCCATCAAAATCTCAGTTAATTAGCATTAGCTAAGTAACTGCAGGAATAACTGAATTAGCCTATTTTCTTGCTGTAGGTAATGATTAAAAAGTATTCAATTTATGGCAGTTTTCAAGTTGCTAAGGATTATGAGAACAATGCACACTATTTTCAGCTCGCCAAGGAGAGTGAATCAAATGCAAGAGCCCAGTCTTTCAAAAACAGTCCTCCAGATGATTCATCTGCTGAAGCCTGGCTGGAACACGTTGCGTGGCCTGACACCACTGCATCGCCTCTCTGTGGGAGCCAAGGCAAAGTCGCCACCACAAACCCGGACAAGTAATTAAGATACTGGGCTTAAAAGGGAAATCTTGTATATGTCATGTATGTCAGAAGAACTGCAAGAACAGGCAGATCCTGTGACCCAGCCAGGATGCAAAGGCTTCACTCCAGCAAAGGAAATCACTGTTGAAGGAACTTTGGACAAGTCTTGCTATGTCAAATTTAGCTGTTGGTGCTTGTTAAATTTTGGTTCTTTGTGTCAAAAATAGGACATTTCTATTACAAATTTTATTATCTGTTATTTATCTATACAGACAAGCAAGGAAGGAGAGGCAGGGGGCTTATCCTCTATGTTAAAAAAATGGATTGATTGCACAGAGCTGTCTTTGAAAAATGGTGATGAACAGGCCAAGCCAACAAAGGAAACCTTGTGGTGGGTGTTTACTACAGACCGCCCAATCAAGGATGTTGATGAAGCATTCCTACTTTATGGAACAAATCCTCTTGGGGTCAAATGAAGGACGTGACTGTGAAAAGCCAGCACGGATTCACCAAGGGCAAATCGTGCTTGACAAACCCAATTGCCGACAAAGTAACCTGCTCGGTTGATGTGGGGTGAGCAGTGAACATTGTTTACCTGGGTTTCTCCAAGGCTTTCGATACAATTTCCCACAGCCTCCTCCTTGAGAACCGATGCGTTACAGTCTAGACAAGTGGTCCATGCGGTGGGTGGGGAACTGACTGACGGGGCACACCCAGAGGCTGGTGGTAAATAGCCGCTCTTCAAACTGGCTCTCTGTCACAAGTGGGGTCCCCCAGGGACTGATACTGGGCCCAATGCTGTTTAATATCCTCATATGGGATCTGGCTGATGGGATCAAGTGCACCCTGATGAAGTTTGCAGATCATACCAAACTGAGTGGGGAAGTGGACACTTTGGAAGGGAGAGTCACCCTGCAGGAAGACCTGGATAGGCTGGAATAGCGGGCTAACAAGAACCTTATGAAGTTCAACAAAGAAAGACAAGTGTAAGGTCTTGCACCTGGGAAAACATAATCCAGGAGTGCAGCACAGACTGGGATCTACCTGGCTAGAGAGCAGCACTGTGGAAAGGGACCTGGGGGTCCTGGTGGACACAAGCTCAATATGAGTGAAGAGTGTGCTGCAGCGGCAAAGAAAGCCAACAGGACTCTGGGTTGCATCAACAAGGGCATCGCAGTAGAGATAAAGAAGTCATTATCCCACTCTACCCAGCACTTGTCAGGCCACACCTGGAGTACTGTGTTTGGTTTTGGTCCTCGTTATGCAAAAAAGATGTGGACAGGCTGGAAAGGGTCCAGAGAAAGGCCACAAAGATGATCAAAGGACTGGGAAGCCTGCCATATGAGGAAAGGCTGAGAGACTTGGGTTTCTTCAGCCTTGAGAAAAGAAGGCTTAGGGGACACCTCGTCACCACGTTCCAGTACTTAAAGGGTGGCTACAAAGAAGAAAGAGATTCCCTTTTTACAAGGAGTCACATGGAAAAGATGAGGGGTAATGGGTGCAAGTCAATCCTGGGGAGATTCCAATTGGACTCTAAAGGAAAATTTTTCACAATGAGAACAATCATCCATTGGAATAATCTCCCCAGGGAAGTGGTGGATTCCCCAACATTGGACACTTTTAAGATTCAGCTAGACAGGGTACTGGGCCATCTTGTCTAGACTGTGCTTTTGTCTGGATGGAGCTTTTGCCAAGAAAGGTTGGGCTAGATGATCCTTGAGGTCCCTTCCAACCCGGTATTCTATGATCCTACAATTTAAATTTACATGCCCAAAGGAGACAGTCTAATGTTTGGTCATTTAAGGTTTTAGATTCTTCAAGTACAACTGACAGAAGACTGAGTGAATCCCCAAATGTACGTACAACTACTGCCAAACACTTGGATACACTTAACCTTACCATATTCCACTTTCTTTAATTTTTAAGGTCTCCAGACATCTTTCTACAATGCTTCTCTTTACAATGAGAGCGCTATCAGTCTCCACAGCCCAGCTTCTTTTTCATGGACCCAGCCAGGATCCAGAAAACGGATAAAAGTCTCCCAGTGAGCTCAGCCTGGAAGGCATTCTCTTTGTGATTCTTACATAAAAGCAGAAGATGACTTCAACAGAAAAGTACCTTTTCCAACACCTCTGTGTAAATCAATGCCCAAGCCCAGTGCCAACTTCTGATTCATTTCTCGGTTAAGCACTGCTTGACTTGTGCTTTGGACCACTCTTAATTCCCCAATTAGAAGCATGTCACTCAATTCCAACTACTCTGTGCAATTACTTCAGGAACTCCCATGACCGAATGACATTTGACTGTTTTTACTGGAGTGCTTATGACCATGGCATAGTGTGAAACATCAGACTCATTGACCGTGAGGTTTCCTGAAGGCAAACTCCTAGGCAGGTTTGAGCGTGAATGACTGGATCAGACACAGTCACTAGGAAAAGCACCGGTTCGTCATTAAAATAGGGGAGGGAGGTTGTTGTAATTTGATCAATGCTTTGCTATCATTAGCATCACAAGTACCTGAAATTGATAATCAGTGTCACCCTTTTGGGAGAAACAGTGCCACAACACTGTATTGTGTTGTGGAAAAGCAATTTCCCCTCTTTAGACCTCTCTCATCTATGTATATACATAGACAAACATATCCACATGCATTTTGTAAGTGCTATGCACATATAGATATTCTAGGCACATACAATCTCTTTGTCCATAAAAACATCCATGAAGAAGATCTGGCACTGAAGCCACTGTTGGTACAAGTCCATGGAAGTAATGGTGGCTTAAAACAAGCTGAAATTTGGTACTAGGTTGTGAATATGTCATTAAGACTTCAAACGACACATGTGGGTAAGTTTGCGCACACATCACCTCAAAATACTTGCTGAGAAAATGTAACCTCTTTGCTTGTAGCCTAGCAAGAAGTATTAAAAGGAGTGCAACAGAAGGGTTCCCACACAAAGTCAGGAGCTCATAGGTAATTCATTTTTGCTTGATCCTGATGAAGGGGACATTATCTTGGAGTGCTCCAGCGTGCCCAGGTTCTTAGTACTTGTGGAAGGGAAGGAGTGGGAAGCCATACTCTGCTCTTGATACTGTGACTCTTATAAACTAAGTAAAGCACAATGACTGATTATCAGGAAAGGACATTTAATGATTTCTTACTTATGACAGGGTAGCTCTCTTACTAAGACAGCTCATGAGAGGAGGTTACGTCAGCTGTTCGTGCATGCCATTTTGAGTGGCTGGCTTTAATACTAATGTAATAATAAGAAAGGAAACAAAAATCTGCCTTTTTTGGATCTAATACTTACTTTTCTTAAGTTGTTCTTGAGTCATGTTTACTATGAAGTTGTTGTTTGTGTGAAATACGCATGTCCTTGCCAGAAGCAAGACCTGTTTTACACAAGACCCCATGCAACCACTCAACATTCCTACATGGACATCCATCAGCCCCCTTCCTTCCCAACTCCCAACAATGACAACCAGAGATCACAGAACAAAAAAAACTGGGTGAGCAGCCAAGTAACAGTGACAAAAAGGACATCATGCAGAGCATCAGAGTGAGCAAGAGATACTGAGGAGGACATCCATTCCTGGGGGTACGTTATGATGGATCGTGGACTGGCAATGACCAAATAGATTCCTTGCATTGCAAAAGGAAATGCAAGGAGCAACAGCAGCTAAAAAAAAGAGGGAAGGGAAAATGCAGCTGGACAAATCTCTTCCATTGCAGGCAAAGGTGAAGTCATTATAGCAGAAACAGTAAAAAAAATTTCTTCTTCAGGAAAATCTTGACCAAGGCTAAGAACAAGGAAGAATATTCTAACAACTACCGGCATCTACTTAGCTGGAGATGCCAGGGTTTGTTTAAGATGTCATAGGACAGATGTGCATGCTCTGGTATTATAGGTGACTGACTGCATCATTCTATTATACTTGCCAATTAAAAGCCAAAGACTTGCCTTAATTTTTAAATTATATTGCTCTCAGGTCAGTTTGGTAATTCCTACAGACATTTTAAAAGGACTGCCTCTGTGGCAAACATCTTTCTTACCACTACATTTCTGAGTGAGATTTTGGACACTGGGGTGATTACCTGTTTTCAGACTCCCTAAATGAAAAAGGAGCCTCTCCTATAACCTAGATAACCCAAATCCCTGGTGACATTTCTTTTACCTTCCATACACCCTGGAAGAAAAGGAGTCTTTGTGCAGGGGCCCAATGGTCATAGCAAACTACGTGAAACTAAAAGCCTCCAGAACTGCATGTGTACCATGAATGGAACTAGATCAACTTGACCCCCTTATTTCATATATAGATTAAAAATAATCATATAATAGCTTTACAATTGATAGTTTTTGTGGCATGATTATTGGGGAAGGCTGTCCACCACAGCAATAAATACTCACTGTTTACGGTACCTGCTAGTGCATTAATATTATTCAGTCCAACAGTGGCTCCAGCCAATCCTTGGAGAGTACCCAGAGAAGTCAAAGAATTCATGGCCGCACCAGCTGTAGAATTAGCAGTTGATGCAGCCACTGAAAGGAAAAAAAAATCAAGGCAAAATTAAGGCCATATTTTGCTTATTTTAGTTGATCACAAAACAGCTTACAATAATGCTGAGCTCAACAACAGGGCTACTTGCAAGAAAAAGAAAAAAAAGAAAATGAGACCAATAGACCAACCTTGTTCAAGATATTACTAGTACGTTTGCTCATGGAAAGTGTTGATAAGCCTTGAACTGCAAAGACTCGATCACAAAATTTAGCGTTGTGCTATTATTTGCAAACAAAATACAGGAACAGTACGTATGGGATGTCACTTTCTCAAAAGTTTGTCAATCAACCTAGCATCCCAGGCTGATCAGCTAACCAGGCTATTGAGATTTTGCCACATTTTAAACTCTATCATTGAAAACAAAGTAGAATTACTCATAGTAATTTTGTCATACAACAGTTTTCTGTTCTGGGCCCCAAGTGTTCTAAGAGAAATTTTAATTATTCTAAGAAGTGAGACACTATGCCATTATGGCTCTGCTCTAGGACACTGTATGAACATCATTGAAAGCCTTGAAGTTTATGAACAGAAGAATGACCAGCCAAATACAAAACGTAACTACTATCCATGTTATTCCAGGCTTTTAACCTGGCCTTTGTACATAACTAGGCGTGTATACGCACCCCACAAATGATATTATCTATACACATCCGCAAAAACTCTGCCAGTGCTGAGCTGAGGCTCAGGTGGAGAAAAAGTCCTTGATGCCACAATGCCAAGGGAATGATGAAGGTGGATGAGAAGAATCCATCTAAACTACACGCTTAGGAAGAGAAAGAGACTCACTCTTTTGTCATAGGAAAGTAATAAAACACCTTAGAAAGAGGTATCATTTAGGATAGGTAGGATGAATTAGAAATACGTGTCTCTCTCATAGAATGGCCTTGAATAACCAGTGTAGATTAAACACAACTTACAGGTAGGTAAAGTTATATCAGATGAATCACAGTCATAAAAGCTGTGGAAGCAATTAGGTTTTTAGCTTGTCTCCTGAGCCCTACTTCAGTCCATCAATCATAAAGACTTTCTTTTCCTTTAAAAAAGTTGCATTATCTTCCGAAAAGTGAACATTTTAAGTCACAGTTTTGTTGATGATTTACCAGAGGCACATCATGTCTATACCATGCTTGTTTTGCTCCTATTCATTAACTAGCTGTGAAATGGTTAAGATCACTTTTATCTTGATGCTCTTTTGAGCTGTCAAACACATCAGATTACTAAGTGAACCCTCAAGAAAATGAAGTCTCTGCGATGGCAGCATCCAGTAAGGAACATAGGAGGCAACTTTTTCACTCTGTGGGTAAACCTCAAAGCTCTAACCTACAAAAACCTCACCTTTACAACCTTAAAACCCACCAAAGACAAGCCTCATGGGGCCTCAAAGTACAAACAACTCTCCTGGTGTGGTTGAGGAGAGATTTCCAGACTCCGTGAGACATTCCTTGTCACCACTTCCCCAGCATTTGCAATGTTAACTTGAATAATTTTATATCTTGCAGATAGAAGCGGTTTTGATTATTCAATCTGTCTCCACAAAGCAATCAGAAGCCAATAATGTCTTTGATTAAAAAAAAGTAATCAAAAAACCCAAGTAAAAACCACTTTTGTCAGATAATGTGGGCACCAACAGAGAAGAGAGAAAAAAATCAAAGTGAATGAATGTCAGTGAATTCCCTGTGACCAACACTGCTCTGTGTTTCTGCTCATGTTCATTAGCAGATCGTTTAAATGAAGTATATAAACCTAAATTCTGAAGGATCTGATTGGTTTTGACTGGGCTGAATTCCATCCATTTCTGTTTCAGAGGATTATTACCCTTTTCTCTTGCGGAAACACATATATTTAAGAAATGAGAGAAATGGGGGCTAGGAAACTGCCTGAAAATTACATTAAAGCTCTTGGGGGCAAATAACTCCAGCGAATGAGAGCCATACGCTTATGGCTTGTCAACACATCTGTTGGAGAAGGCAGAAAAACCTGATTAAATCCTTCCCTCTCGTGCATTGTGGTGGCTCTTATAATAGTCTCACTGCTCAAACACACGCTTCAGGGATGGCCAGTATCTGGGGCCAACATCTCTTTTCTTCTTTGATTCATATCAAGTTTCTCTATTCCATCAGACAAACACAGAGCAGGTGCCTCAGTGATTCTTCCATTTGAAGTTGCAATGCAGATTATCTAGTTTGCCTAAAGAATGACTTGGCATATAATCAATGTAAAATACTAGTTGGAGCACTGAAGCACCTCAGAAATCAGCGTTTTGTTGTTGCAGCTATTTCTTCTGTTTAGCAGTGATCTGTCTCACAGATCCACTGGGACAATGTTTTTTCCTCTTTGGCTTATTATTTCTTCGAGGAAAAAGAAACCGAACAAATTGTGTGGTTTCCATTATCTTACTGAACATGGGGTGAACAGAAGCGAAGGGAGCTCCTTTTGTTAGGGCACTTGTAAAGGACAGATCCAGCACCTTGCTGGTTTCCTGAGAGACTCCACACTAGTTATCTCCTTCTCTTTGACTGAGACCTGCACATATGAAATGAAGATGAAGACAGCGACGAGCTAAAACACGATCATAAAGGGGCCATAAAAGGTCCAAGATATTGAGAGAGGTGAAAATTTCTCACAAAATACTGGATAAAACCAACAGATGAAGCAATGGTATTCCTTGTCCCCACAAAACTTAAAGGGAGATGAAACAAAAGTTAAAAGGTCCTACAAGACATGTGTGGAGGCTTAGGCCAGCTGAAACTTTTTACCTCATGTGCTCCCAGAATACGTTGAAATCCATCTAAAGACAAGGACTATGCTTCTCCTGTCCTTTGCCCTTTCCTAGTTTCTTTCAACTAAAAAATTGTAACATATATTGAACCAAAGGGAAAAAAGAAAAATCACATGCCTTGTGGTAACGGTAGATGACTGCACTACTTTGGGGGAACCTGTATAACTCTCTCGTGTCAGCAAAGCTCTTGGGCTCCACAACTGCTCAGAGTAATGGCAAAGGAAGTATAATTCACTGTCGGAACAGCGTTATTCTATATTTATGGCTTTAGTTGTCCAGATGACAAAAACAGATTGGATACCTACCAAATTTATAAATTGGTTTTTACCAGGTTCCCCTGCCACCAAATAAATTAAGAGAAAACATTTCACAACTCCATCCTGCACACCAGAACACTGCTGCTCTGAATCAAATCACTTCATCGTGCTGCTTAATAAACAGTAGGCATCTGTCTCCAGGTACTTAGCTTGATGTACAGAGCTGCAGTGTCACTAGGAATTGCCCTCTTTGCACTACTGGTGCACCAGCATTTAGTGCAACAGTCAGGAAAACTAAAACAGACAAAAAAATGTGCAAACGACTTGGTTTTCTGGTGTCACTCTGTATGGCACACCCTCTATCCACATTTGGTATTATTTTTCCCTTTATACTGAGAATTTTGTCCTTGCCTCCTTCAAACCTATATATGTCAAGGACTCAATGTGTTTCTGGGGCAGCATTAAGCGAGTTAACTAATACTGAAGATAAGGGGAGAGATTCAGCAGACGGGAGCTCCGGCCTGATGAATGCTGGCTGAATATACAATAGTTGGTGAAGAACAGAGCTGCTTTTTACCAGCTGCGCTGATCATTCCCTCACAATGTTAAGCCCTGGATAAACATCAGAACATGATAGATAAGATTTTGTCTACTCAAAGGAACTATTTCCTCTCTAACATCAGTCATTGGAATAAGCCAACAACTTTCACAGAGAGGCTGTTGCTCAATCAGAGACTATTGGCAGGAGTTATGGGGTTGAATCCTTCAGCTGATGTTGCAAGAGTTCAGACAAGATGTTCATCATATTCCCCACCGATCTTAAAAATCTATTAATACGTGAAAATAATATCACAGCGTTCGATAAAGAGGTCAGTTTAGACTTGTAAGAGTAAAGAGTTGTCCTGTAACCTGTAAAAAATCCACTCTGTTTCCCGCAGGTACACTGCATGCTGGTCACCTGTTGCCTTCTCCACCCCGACCACATACAGAGACTTTACAGAACACTTTAGCTTCTTCAGCCATAAAAGGTGAGCAGGTTAAAAATGTTTATTTTACTATTAGAGACCCTACTCTTTCTTCTTCATTGACCCCTCTATTCCCATATTTTTGTGTCAGTCTCACAGCCTTCCTCTTTTTTTCCAAATTCAACTCCACTTTAATAAACATCCAGAAACCTTTAAATAATACAAATAATATTTTTAAGAAGCTGTGAAATGGAGAAGGGCAACCCCCCAAATCACTCCCAACCCCAGCCATTTGATCTTACTGTGCTTCCTCCATTTAATTGATGAAAACTTTGCTATCAGCTTCACTATGAATAAAGAGGCTTGGCCTTTGGTTAATATATTCTTTATCAGAGCTCTCTTTGATACAGAGAACACATTTTCATTTGGAGTGGATGCTCTACACAGTATAGATATTTGTATTTAACTACCAATGTTGCATTCATAGAGATTCGTAGGGCTGGAAGGAGCTGGCATTTTCAACTTTTCTCCTCAACACATTTATTTCTGCTTGTAAAAGGTTACAGCACCTTTTAGGTCACAGATTTTTTTAAAAGAAATCTAAACCAGCAATGAGACATTTCCCTTTTAATTTAAATAACATTTCAATGTAATTCCCCAAAAGTATGCCAACCTAGAAAATCAACCCGTATTAACATAGAAACTTTTGGCCATTATTTTGGCTAGCTTACGTCCATAGAGTCATGACGATTTACATCATCTGGATTTACATCATCTGGAAAACTAGATTCAGGATAACAGCATCTAGGAAAGGCAATGATGTGTAAATATTTCTTGACCTTTGCTGTGCACATTGTGGATGGGATTAATTTCCCCACCTTTGGCAGCTTCATCATTAGTTTAAGCTAGTCTAGTGAAAACTATTCTTTTGGACTGTCTCTGTGGTTAAGAGACCTCCAACTCAAACACCCTACCTTTAG